AAATTTTTTGCCCCCACAAAAAAGGAAAAAAGTTTTGTTGGGTAAGTTTGGTGAGGGGTTTTTTTAGAAAAAAAAAAGAAAAGGTCCCCATGGGGGGGAATTTGGGGAAACCCCCTCCCCTGGGCAGACGGGGTATCCACCCCCGATGTGAAGGGCCCCTTCAAAGGATTGGGGGGGAGGGGGGGGGGGGGGGGGGGGGCAGGGCAGGGGGTGGGGATTTGATTGTTTTTGTTGGCCCAGGGGTAGAGAGTTTGACTGATCATGTTCTCCCAGGGGAGGGGATATTTGAATCTTTCTTCGCCCGACGTGGAGATATTTGACTGCCGACTCGGACGAATAAGACTGAGACCGAACATATGTTTCCCACTTCTAAGCTTCTGGAAATCATGGAGGCTAACGAGAACAAGCGGAAGTTGGGTGGATTTTTCTTCAAATTTCGTTTGTTTTAGCGTGTTTTTGATGTTATTGAACCTCTTAAGATACTGTGGTATCAAAGTAAACTGAAGTAAAGAGCAACCAAGTCGATTTTTGCAAGTACAATTGATCAGTGTATGGCTCATTCGCTACACTCATTGAAAGCTTATAAAAATGACTTTTTTGTACCCTTTACTAAGAACGGTATATTTAAACTTACAAAATGTGGACTTTCTCCTAAAGGTTTCTGTATTCTACGCAGTGTAACACGGATTATGGTTAAAACGTATAATTGCAGCTGTAACAGGAACATGTATCTTTGGTGAAGCAGCAACGTAATATAAATAAAGATTGCAGAGTTTCATTTGGGGATATTTTTATTGTGCCTTTCTTGGGTCCAGCCTTGGGGTATTTGACAGCGCAATGTGCAGCCCGGGGTTGGGAAATTTGGTTGCATTTGACTGGAATGATTTGCCCTTTAGCAGAGAATTTGACTGCAAATTTTTGAAAAATGTCAAATCCCCTCCCCATGCCCTGCCTCCCCCACGCCGGCTTTACATTGATAGGTGCATAACGTTTGCGAACAAGCGCTGATATCTTTGTTCTGGGCCCCTAACAGACTCAAAGAATGACCAGAATATACGTTTCGAATTCCCCTTTAACCTGACTGGCAAATTGACAATGGCTTTTTCAACAGGCCAATCATGGCGTGTACTCAAATCCTGGTACACAGGTGGGCGCCCAGAACCAGGATTTCCGCGCTGTTTTGCACTGAGACGGATTAAGCTGAAGTTTAGTTTCGTCTGTGGCGCAGGCTAAGAATCACTCGACTTTACGATAAATTTCCTGGTTTCTCTTGGGATCACAGTTCTTCAAAATTACAGAACGGATGCGTGAACAAAAATGTCTCGTGGAAGAAAAAGCAAAAATTAAGCAAAACTTAGGCAAAGCAAAAATTTTTAGGTCAAGAACTTTTGTGGCCAACATTTAGACTAGCAGAGCAAGTCTTCTTTAGAACCTGAGTAGGACTAAAAATTATTTACTAACACTTAGCTCGTAAATTGGAAAAGACGTTTTGCTAGCGAGGATTTCCTGCTGTCTTTTTTTCTTGCATTAAGTGTTTTTTAAAAATCAATCAGACTCCACGCTGGTGACATTTTATGATGCAATTTGAAAGGTTCACGTCTTCCTTAAAAGAAAGAAGCGATGTCAGCCTATAAACGTTATTTGTGAAATTGCCTAGATACTTGAAAAAAGCCTGCTTGTTAAACGGCAGTATTAGCAAGAGGCTCGGATGAGTCCCTACAAATCCTTCCTGGATGAGGCGTCTGGGAAAGGGTGACCTCGTTCGGTGACGTCGCAGCTTTAACCGAGCTGAGAACCCTTAGGGACTGGGCTGGACTTTGATCATGACGCTATGATACAAGGCAAATTTAGAAGGAGTTGTATAGAGTCATCATGAGTCATCTAGGCTTAACGGTGTTTTATCACCTCA